TCGTATAAGGTAGGTCACTATGTTAATAGCGTCGTCTAAGGTAGGTCACTATGTTAATAGCCTCGTATAAGGTAGGTCACTATGTTAATATCGTCGTATAAGGTATGTCACTATGTTAATAGCGTCGTCTAAGGTAGGCCACTATGTTAATAGCCTCGTATAAGGTAGGTCACTATGTTAATATCGTCGTATAAGGTAGGTCACTATGTTAATAGCCTCGTCTAAGGTAGGTCACTATGTTAATATCGTCGTATAAGGTAGGTCACTATGTTAATAGCGTCGTATAAGGTAGGTCACTATGTTAATAGCCTCGTATAAGGTAGGTCACTATGTTAATAGCGTCGTCTAAGGTAGGCCACTATGTTAATAGGGTCGTATAAGGTAGGTCACTATGTTAATATCGTTGTATAAGGTAGGCCACTATGTTAATAGCGCCGTCTGGGGTAGGCCAATATGTTTGTTAATAGTTCCATATTAGGTAAGTCATTATATATTACATGTAACTGAGCGAAATTGTGTTATCTCAGTCGGGGGCTAAGACACATTATCCTAACAGAGGCGTAAAACCTTGGTTTGGATGTTACAGAATTTCAGGCCGAGACTGAGATAACCCAATCTCGCTGCGTTACAGGTAAAAGATTTTGTTTCTCGCACTATTTAGTTCCAAAAAACTATTCAATTTTGCTACAACTATCCCGTATGAGTCCTCAAATAAATATGGCGTCTTCGCTACTTAAGCTTCATTCCATGCTTCCGCCTTAAGATGAAGTCCATTCTTATATTACAAAGAAGATGACTTATTTTAAGTGAAGATTATATTTTATCTACAACATCATAAATCTAACAATATCAAAACAATATATCTAACGACAAAACAAAATATTTCTAATGCAGGTTGTAAATTTCGAGCCGTTAACGTGCGGATAAATACATCGCTGTTTAAAAATTCCGCGAAATGTCACGTAAAGGTATCAGACAGATCGGACGAGATTGAAAAATCTAGCACGGGATATGACGTGGGGTATCACTGTCTTGTACGCGAGTATAAGATTATTTCATGTAGGATAGGGACATTTCTTCTGAAGGGTTTTCAAATTGGGTAAAACCCGAGGTTTGCTTGGGGTTTTGCACCAAATTGGAAAATCCCGAAGGTGGAGTTTCCCTATCCTACAGCACTGAACATGAAAGAGTATTTTTCTCTCACGAAACGGTGGCTCCGATTCCGCTTCGGTGCAGATTATTTTATAAAACATTACTAATTGTAAATATTTTCATACGGCATCAAAATATGGTGGACAAAAAACTGAGGAACATTACATGGGGTTACTACAGAGTGGATAACCTTTTGCTGATAAGCAGACAGGTGTGAAAAGGGTCATCATCCAGTTTTCGTCAAGAATTAAATTTAACAATAAAGGGATGAGTATATTATATTTTTTCTGGTGCTTTGTATTTAGTCCAATACTCTGGCGATCACGTTAAATGGGAGATAACTCGATCAAGACAGGAAACATTTACCGTTCAACTCTTCGTAGCGAAATAACGAAAACTCAATAAAAGTCACGGAACTGTTGAGTTCACTCGTCGTCCGACTTATGCAATTATTATAAAAACGATCTGATGACGTAATATTAGTAATTTGTTTTCAGCTTAAACTGAAAAGACATAAATACGCAAATACAATTTTAGAGGCTAGGTGATCGTCCAGGATTTTTTTTTTTTTTTTTGGGGGGTGCTAAATTTTAGTGAAACCGTGACCGGCCAACAGATGATGCCATATGGCTCATTCAGAATTACTTATTGTAAAACTATGAACAATTTAATTCAAAGAGTAAACATATCTCCATCCTATATTGATATCCTGGAGCTGTTCATCATTGTATATATGTTTCTTGTAATTTTCTTTTCAAGGTATAAATGTCATTTGATTTACATATAATGATCATTTCAATTTCAACATATTTTATTGATATAGTTGGAAAATTGCCAAAGTGATCGGACAACAACCACAGTCTTTATAAGACGTCTTTATACTAAATACTAGACAAGTGGCAACAACTGTGCATATACTTAATGTAGATTATTTCATAATGATTTAATAATACTCTCATCATAAACCGCTTCGCGGTTAATTTAGAGTACACTTCGATTTTTTGTGTGTTATATCTCCATAACATGAAAAATATATTCAAGTTAAGAAATAATAAATCAGCTGTATATGCTATAATGTCCAAAGTAATATTGTTCTCCGTGTAGATTCTACCACGGAATTAGATCAGATCTAAGTCCGTGGTTCTATAAATAAAACAAACCACGGTACCTAAAAATCTAATCAATTATTTCACGGTGGCATTTGATATTTTCTTCAGATTTATACTTGTATTGAATTGCATAAAATACTAAACTTTAAACGATGTTTCATCAAGTTATTCTGGTAACCATCTTCGTTAAAATAATCAGCGAAAACAGTCGTTATCACCTTTATCAGATGATGAATTATCCTTGTTCCCGAAAGTAAAGGGTATATATTTTCGCTTATGAAAGTTCTGAGACTTTTTTTCGCAATATTCTATTTTTCTTCTTAAAACATCAAAGAAAAAGGGTGTTGGCTAACCTTTCTGTTCGATATAACTTGTTTTATACCTCTACCTGTATTTTTTTGGTCAAATCTAAACTGCTCTTAAAAATATGGAACAAAGATATGTTGTATACAAGAGGCCCAGAGGGCCTTATCGCTCACCTGTTTCTTTTGTTACATGGAACTGACATATAGATAACTTAAGACCATTTGGTAACTAGAACACAAGACATTTTAACATCTCTTAAACGGTTCTGACGGTTTAGAAGATATTGTTGTTTGAAACATAAAATTTTAATTTCAAAGCTTTTAACCAAAGTTGACATTTGAATCCCGATTTGCACTTAAAGTTAACCTTTGACCTCATTACTGTAATGAAGAAAACAATTCACACAGCTGGTCTACATAACAAACCTAAGTATCATGACTAGTCCAAATGGTTCTTAGGATATTGTTGTTTGAAGTTTTTAACATATTTGACCCCGTGACCTTGAAAGTAGGTCAAGGTAATTTTAATGAGAAAACTTTATAGCACTCCATCCCAGGTACCTACTGACCAAATATCATGACCCTAGGTCCTACAGTTCTTCAGAAGAAGTCGTTCAAAAGAAAAAAATGACGGACGGATGACGGACGACGGACGACGGATGACGCAGTACGGCATAATTCAGATTATTCAGATTCTTTATTTCCTTATGTTTACAACACATCGGAGAGTAGACATACATATGTACAAGATATCACAATGTATAACACAAATTACAGTTGATGCAATAGTGTACAATGCATAACATAGATTATTAAAACACAATATACCTGTATGTGGGTATAACATACAGAACATGCAGTATTATAAGCTTACATAAGCTTACATGGCCCTTCGGGCCAGGTGAGCTAAAAATCATGGTTAATGTTCATTTAATCTACAAAAATCTAGCAATAAATAATTTGTTACGATCAAAAAAAATGTACAATGAGGAATATTGCTTACTGTGTTAGAAACGTAGAATAAACACTGCGGCAAATCTTGCAAACTATTATAATTTATGTCTTTTACAAAAACAATACTGTAGTACCGAAAATGCAAGACCGCGATTCCGAATCGTCTTTATGCATAATAAAATTCGTTTTACTAACAAAATTAGTTACTTTTAAACATTTTTTCTGCAGTTTCACTATTTTTTGTTTAAAATTCAGTTATCTACTTGCGCGCAGTGTAAACCGGATTATATTTACCATATACCCGGTTTTATTACTACGAATACCTTTCAAACTTCCGGTTTTACTCGGCAGTTTGCAATGAAGAATATACCGAGATGAAAGTCAATACAACAACACTACAGCCATGTATATTGGTAAAATTCTTAGTTTTATTCTTTTCTTATTTTGAACTTCTTAATACGACATTCTAACTAATTCCGCCAGCATTTTGTCAAACACTCTGTAAGCGGTTGTCGGTTTTGGTAGTTAGACTACGGTCAGTGTTTACTTTTATATTCTTGATTATGGACAGATGGATGGACCTTTATATCAGTGAATTATTTTGTAAAAAAATATCCTTTTCTGTTCTATAATAAAAATTTGCTGCCTCCCAAGGGTTTTCCACTACCTTAAACGGGGAGTATCAATGGCACCCGTCTGTAATAGGAAGGAAGTAGAATAACGAAAATGTTCACTCACTGGGACTCGAACCTGCACCCCCATACTTCCTTGTCAGACCCTCTACCACTGAGCTAAACGGAAATTCTCTCTAGTCCAAGCTAGTAAGGTGACTTTGACACAATGAGCAATACACATCCTTAACACAATTGTGCCTCTTAAAATGGAAAAGTGATGCATACTGAGATTTGGTCTAATGGCCCTATATATTAGCCCGAGTTTACTCTGGCCCTGACAACAGATTTCTATCTGTCAAAATGTTTAAGTCTGGTGTCAGGGCCAGAGGAAACTTGGGCTACATATACATATATAGTTTTAGCCATTGTTTCACTGTACAATACTTTGTGCAGGGTGTATCTGATATACTCTGCCACTTACAAATGACCAGCTTTGTATGTGAAGTATCTCTTAGGATGTCGGAGGGTCTAGCTAGCTTGTGTTGAAATTGGGTCTCATGCTGGCTATTTACAGAGTTGTGGCCCTTTGTGTGGGTCTCAAGGCTACTGACACTGAGCTCTGTCGATTTCACACTGGTCCTACTCCTATAGTCCGAATTATTCTGACGTTTTATCGTCTTTTTTCATATCGGTCTGTCGTCGATTAACGTCAGAACTCCTGCCCCCTATAAAGTGAGACATGTGTGTGAAAGAGACGATTTGTTTCTAAAATATCAGTTTGAAGTGCGCTCCGGGCGCAGCTCGCATATTTTCCGCATATTATAGAGGGCCGGAGTTCTGACGTTAATCGACGACAGACCGATATGAAAAAAGTTGATAAAACGTCAGAATAATTCGGACTAACTCCTAATATGTTTATATAATATGAGAAGATGACTCTCAGTCTGACATTGTGACATAAGCCATTAAAGCCATGTTGGTCTCTGTGGAGTATAACATATAGATAAATAGAAGTATAAATATACTAAATCAGAATGGAACATAGGTCAATTTTAAAAATGAACTGGATGGGTTTAAGTGATTATATAGGAAATATATATGTTTGGTATTATATACCGTACATACTAATTACATAAGTTTGGATTTTGGAATATATTCATAATGCATTAATATGATGACTGTATTTTTGTTGTAGGTGATACTATACATGACTCTGTCAATGGTGGCAGGGAACCGCTGCTCTAAAAGTCTGTCTCGTATCGTCAGGCAGCAAGTGAAAGAGGTATGTACTTAATCACTATGGTCAGATATAATAATCAAAAGCACCGGTAATCTGTACCAAACCTTGTGATATGCCAAAACTGACCATATGTATAGAATGACCAGTGTCCATTTCAGTATTTGAAGAATAGATTCATGTTATTTTTACAGTAAATAGACTAATCAGAGTGTCACATTTACTGTGAAAAAATAACAAAGAAACAAATCCTTGTTATTTGATTATGACACCAAAATAAAACAGGCAAACTACCAAAGTGTCATTGATTATTGTAAGTTTGAAGTACAAAATTTTGTCCATTTAAACATAATAAAGAGAATAACAGAAAGAGTAGGGATGAAACAAAAAAAATGTGCATACCTCACAATATGATACGTATCAAGGGCTGATGCTTACAATACAATGCATATCACAATACTACAGTACACATATCTGCTAAAAATTGCATTGTGTTTTCATTAGAAGACTCTAAAGAGCAAGACCTCAGTGTTAATAGAAACTGTAGAATCCCATGTAAAACTGATAAATTTCAGACAAATAAGTAAGTGTTTTACTTCTCAGAGGTTATTACCACATTATGAGGAATTCAAGATGAAGATGCCAGACAGCTGTCCACTGAGTCCGAACCGAGATGTGTACATGATGCAGGAGGAGAAGGTGTTTATAGAGTCCTCGTCCAGGTACAAGTGTAACGTGTGCGGAAAAGCCTTCATCTCACAATTCTACATCGACATGCACTTCGACAACCGCCATCCAGATTATATCGCAGAGGTATGACATTCACAAAAGTTCATCATTTGTATAGATTCATATATCGTATAATACAAGATACATTTATCGTATAATACAAGATACATATATCCTATAATACAAGATACATATATCGTATAATACAGGATACATATATCATATAATACAAGATACATATATCGTATCATGCAAGATACATATATCGTATAATGCAAGATACATATATCGTATAATACAAGATACATATATCGTATAATACAGGATACATATATCGTATAATACAAGATACATATATCGTATCATGCAAGATACATATATCGTATAATGCAAGATACATATATCGTATAATACAAGATACATATATCGTATAATACAGGATACATATATCGTATAATACAAGATACATATATCGTATAATACAAGATACATATATCGTATAATACAAGATACATATATCGTATAATACAAGATACATATATCGTATAATACAAGATACATATATCGTATAATACAAGATACATATATCGTATAATACAAGATACATATATCGTATAATACAAGATACATATATCGTATAATACAAGATACATATATCGTATAATACAAGATACATATATCGTATAATACAAGATACATATATCGTATAATACAAGATACATATATCGTATAATACAAGATACATATATCGTATAATACAAGATACATATATCGTATAATACAAGATACATATATCGTATAATACAAGATACATATATCGTATAATACAAGATACATATATCGTATAATACAAGATACATATATCGTATAATACAAGATACATATATCGTATAATACAAGATACATATATCGTATAATACAAGATACATATATCGTATAATACAGGATACATATATCATATAATACAAGATACATATATCGTATAATACAGGATACATATATCATATAATACAAGAGAGTCGTTTCTTGGAAAATATTCCATTAGAAGAGGTATAAAGATATAAGTTACATTGAAAACTAACAACTGTAACTTATTCAACAAATACAAATCATTAAACTAACAACCTGTAACTTATTCAACAAGTACAAATCGTTAAACAAACAACTGTAACTTATTCAACAAGTACAAATCGTTAAACAAACAACTGTAACTTATTCAACAAGTACAAATCGTTAAACAAACAACTGTAACTTATTCAACAAGTACAAATCGTTAAACAAACAACTGTAACTTATTCAACAAGTACAAATCGTTAAACAAACAACTGTAACTTATTCAACAAGTACAAATCGTTAAACAAACAACTGTAACTTATTCAACAAGTACAAATCGTTAAACAAACAACTGTAACTTATTCAACAAGTACAAATCGTTAAACAAACAACTGTAACTTATTCAACAAGTACAAATCGTTAAACAAACAACTGTAACTTATTCAACAAGTACAAATCGTTAAACAAACAACTGTAACTTATTCAACAAGTACAAATCGTTAAACAAACAACTGTAACTTATTCAACAAGTACAAATCGTTAAACAAACAACTGTAACTTATTCAACAAGTACAAATCGTTAAACAAACAACTGTAACTTATTCAACAAGTACAAATCGTTAAACAAACAACTGTAACTTATTCAACAAGTACAAATCGTTAAACAAACAACTGTAACTTATTCAACAAGTACAAATCGTTAAACAAACAACTGTAACTTATTCAACAAGTACAAATCGTTAAACAAACAACTGTAACTTATTCAACAAGTACAAATCGTTAAACAAACAACTGTAACTTATTCAACAAGTACAAATCGTTAAACAAACAACTGTAACTTATTCAACAAGTACAAATCGTTAAACAAACAACTGTAACTTATTCAACAAGTACAAATCGTTAAACAAACAACTGTAACTTATTCAACAAGTACAAATCGTTAAACAAACAACTGTAACTTATTCAACAAATACAAATCATTAAACAAACAACCTGTAACTTATTCAACAAGTACAAATCGTTAAACAAACAACTGTAACTTATTCAACAAGTACAAATCGTTAAACTAACAACCTGTAACTTATTCAACAAGTACAAATCGTTAAACTAACAACCTGTAACTTATTCAACAAGTACAAATCGTTAAACTAACAACCTGTAACTTATTCAACAAGTACAAATCGTTAAACTAACAACCTGTAACTTATTCAACAAGTACAAATCGTTAAACTAACAACCTGTAACTTATTCAACAAGTACAAATCGTTAAACTAACAACCTGTAACTTATTCAACAAGTACAAATCGTTAAACTAACAACCTGTAACTTATTCAACAAGTACAAATCGTTAAAGCTTTAAACTTATTATCAAGGAGAAACATGTAGCAATTCTTGGACAATTCACTGTTGTAACATTTAAATATTTTGTGTTATAAGGGGGAGAATACCATTTGTTATGCCGACTACTGTGATATTACAAGGTGTGACATCGTGTCGGGACAAAAAACTCCCGACTTCTGGGACATCTCGCTGTGTCTGGAGGACGACATGACAGAGCTCAAGGAACGTTGTGAGGTGAGATTTATTTAGTGTTTGTTTACCAGCAATGAATCGTTTATATCTCACAAAAAAGTGAAAAGGGTTAATACTGGAATCACCCCATTAGCACAGTCCATTGCTCATCCCTTCGTTTGTAAACCAACAGTTACTAGACTAAGATCGTGTTCCATTTCAGCTTCTGTCCCTGTGTTAACATATACACACAATCACAAACGTGAATGTAACTGGGATATGTTACAAATGTCCCCCCTATTGGTAAACAAATGACTGTCTTAACATACACACAATCACAAACGTGAATGTAACTTGGATATGTTACAAATGTCCCCCCTATTGGTAAACAAATGACTGTCTAAACATACACACAATCACAAACGTGAATGTAACTTGGATATGTTACAAATGTCCCCCCTATTGGTAAACAAATGACTGTCTTAACATACACACAATCACAAACGTGAATGTAACTTGGATATGTTACAAATGTCCCCCCTATTGGTAAACAAATGACTGTCTTAACATACACACAATCACAAACGTGAATGTAACTGGGATATGTTACAAATGTCCCCCTATTGGTAAACAAATGACTGTCTAAACATACACACAATCACAAACGTGAATGTAACTTGGATATGTTACAAATGTCCCCCCTATTGGTAAACAAATGACTGTCTTAACATACACACAATCACAAACGTGAATGTGACTTGGATATGTTACAAATGTCCCCCTATTGGTAAACAAATGACTGTCTTAACATACACACAATCACAAACGTGAATGTAACTTGGATATGTTACAAATGTCCCCCCTATTGGTAAACAAATGACTGTCTTAACATACACACAATCACAAACGTGAATGTGACTTGGATATGTTACAAATGTCCCCCTATTGGTAAACAAATGACTGTCTTAACATACACACAATCACAAACGTGAATGTGACTTGGATATGTTACAAATGTCCCCCTATTGGTAAACAAATGACTGTCTTAACATACACACAATCACAAACGTGAATGTAACTGGGATATGTTACAAATGTCCCCCTATTGGTAAACAAATGACTGTCTTAACATACACACACAAGGTAATTGTTTCTTACCACAGAGCTGGTTCTTTTTAGCTCACCTGCCCGAAGGATTTTAGCTTGGACATTATCAAGATCCCCACCTTATAACCATATATATATATAAACCATTGTTGGGCTTCACCAGACGAACACAATTCTGATGTTAATATTGACTCTTGGGTCTGAACCTACCCCTAGGGACTTAACCTACCCCTAGGGTCTGAACCTACCCCTAGGGACTTAACCTACCCCTAGGGTCTGAACCTACCTCTAGGGACTTAACCTACCCCTAGGGACTTAAATTTCTGGACCATAATGTTGAAATGGTTGAGTACCTGAACCCATAGCCACATATACCATTACATGGCATAAAGATCCAGGTGAGCAATACATGCCCTCTAGGCCTCTTGTTTATTAACGATGTGAAGAAAGGATCTTACTAATATTTCGTTTCTTTTGTTAAGGGGATCTTGGACCAATGTATGCCCGATGGTCTGACTAGGAAGGAGAAGGAGGAGTTATACAGTAAGTATCATGTGAACTATTCAAACATATTCTGGATCCGGTTACCTGTTAGATCTTGTCCACTGTCCCAGCAAAACCAAGATTTAGTTACATTTCTTCTACTACAGTATTGACATTTTTCAGCATTAGAAAACATCAACAAAACTAATTTCAACAATGAAAATTCCAGCCATGTCACAAAATGAAAGTATAAGGGAGAAAAAGAGTTTGGATTAACTTTGAATATTATATATTGTATCCAATGGTTTCACTAAAGAAATATTTCTTAATGATTTATTTAGCAAATGACAAAAATACACAGAAATCACACTTATTAGAGACATCAACTTTTCCAATTTTTTAGTATGCTCGCTAGTAAGGTTTATGGTTGGTTTTGTAAGAATTTTTTTATAGTTATTAAAGGATATACATGTACAATGTATAATGTATCATTTATAAACTTCCTCAGCTAGTACAGTTAAGTACAATGTTTTCCAAGAAAATATTCAATATCATTTTAAAAGATTTTTGCTCTCGATAAACATAACTTCTCTGCACCTTTGGAATAGGTCATGACCTAATCGTACAAACAATCTTGGAGATGACACAAGTTCGCTAGTTTGACCCTTTGATATACATCAAAAGAATCACACGACACCATAACAGTAGAACTGGTGTCGCTCCTCTGTAGTCTTCAAAGATTAGGTATCAGTCTTGCAATTAATCACAATTTTTTATTACATGTACTTGAAACCAAAATATAGAGCAGAACCTTATGATGCATGTCACAGAAATAATTCAGTTTTACTGAGTAATATATAAGTTTTTCCTTGTTACATTTGATATTTTCCCACATGTTAATGCAAGTATTTATCTGGCAGAAGGATTCTAAATATGTTACTATATTGTTTTAGCCCTGTGGTACTGTTTTATTGGTTATAATGGACAAGTCTTTCTGTATTAACATTTAGGATATCTGCATGGTTCTGTCTGCCACTTCCTGACTTGCAAACTTTACTATGATGGACCTAAAAAACAGGTATGTCACGTGAAGGATCTAAATAACATACAAGTGCGCCTGTCGTGACTTACTTGTACAAGACAGGCGAGTCAAACTTGGCAATGAAGGCCCTTCACAGTAATTTGATGGTTAAATATTGTATTTGTCATTCAGCTTTGATATAAAATTTCATTTAATGTAACAGAATTGCGGTTTCTGTAAACTGGATTTGTATCTGTAGTAGAAATGTAAGGTAGTAAGAGTAAATATGAAATATAGAAACAGAGCTGTTGTATCACCACTTAATATGAAAAATTAAACTAAGTGTTATAAATGATGTGTATTACCAGGTGATATAATTGACATTGTGTACATTCGTTCCAGAGCGCCGACACTGTGATGGTGTACTCCATACTGACAACCTTCATGATGATTTTCTTCATCATATACTACTGTATAGGCTACCACTACTTCTAGTAAGTAATCAGAATGTATGAACAATGGTTTCCATTGGATTTTGACAATGTGTTGGTAGGAGAAGTCTGTGTGACATTAGATGGGGATTTTGACAATGTGTTGGTAGGAGAGGTTTGGGTGACATTAGATGGGATTTTGACAACGTGTTGGTAGGAGAAGTCTGTGTGACATTAGATGGGGATTTTGACAATGTGTTGGTAGGAGAGGTCTGTGTGACATTAGATGGGGATTTTGATAATGTGTTGGTAGGAGAGGTTACGGTGACATTAGATGAAGATTTTGACAATGTGTTGGTAGGAGAGGTCTGTGTGACATTAGATGGGGATATTAACAATGTGTGGGTAGGAGAGGTCTGTGTGACATTAGATGGGGATTTTGACAATGTGTTGGTAGGAGAGGT